CACCCATTCGCTAGTTTAATATGCCTCGAACTCGAGCAGCGCTGCTGCTGCGATCTTTACCCCCCAGATGCCCTTCCCACCTGCAAACTCGGCCACCTGCCCACACCATGACAGGAACACATCCACGTCATTGAACGCCCCTGCTGCCCCTGCCCTCACTGCCTGCTCACCGAACCTCTCCTGCAGCCACTGTTCGCCCCCAGTCTTGTGGAACACGCCGTAGCAGAGCGGCATCACGATGTCTGCGTACCTGCACTGCTCGAGGCCACTGGCCGGGTCTGCACGTTGACAGACTGACTGTGGGTTGTAGCACCAGTAGCACGCCGCGAAAGCTGAGATCCATGGCCCGCGGCCCTGCCCCCTCCTTCTGGCCTGGTCGCGCGCCCTGAAGAAGTCGAACCGCTGGTGGCACTTGGTGAACTGGTGGTCCCACTGCTCCCCGAGCCCTCGACAGAGCAGGCACGTCCCCTTCACGGTGAGGAGGTCCTCCTTGTAGCGGCTGAGCTCGAGGTATGCCAAACGCCGCTTCTCGTGGATGGCTGCACTCCCTGTGTGCGGCATTGCCTCTGTGGCATCGTCACGGGGCACGTGTGATGGGCTGGGGCCACTGCTGCAGACATCGCACGCCACATCATCCCTGGTGCCATCGCACTGCCGAAGCTCTGATGCCTCATCGAGGTGCGCACTCAGACACGTGCGCCTGCACTCCCGGCCTTCGAGGTAGCGGTAGAGTGCCCTCGTCTCGACATCCATACCGGCGTTGCCCGCCTGCAACTGCCACTTGTGCGGCAGGAGCACGGCTGAGTATGCCTCCCTCCCATCGCGCCCAGCCCGACCGGACTCCTGCGCAAAGTCGACGAGGGAGCGTGGCTCGTCCAGGTGCATGACGAGCCGGACATGTGGGTAGTCGAAGCCGGCGCTAAGGGCCGACGTCGCCACAATGTATGGCAGCTCGGGTGTTGTGAGCCACGTCCTGAGCAGCTCCTGCTTCTCCTCTGCCGTGCCGGCCATCGCGGTGTAGACCGGGCAGCGGAGCAGGCTGCCCAGGTCCTGTGCCTCCTCCCGTGTCCGCACGTAGAGTATGATCTTGTCTCGGGTCTGGTCGAGCAGCCCGCTCGCCCGCCACGCGTCCCTGGCCCTCCGCGCGCCCTCTTCTAGCAGGCTCCCCTGCCCTGTGGCCCGCTGCACGAGGTACGAGAGGTTCCGCCTGTTCGTTGAGGCCCGCACGACCTTTGGCTTCACGAGGTTGTTCTGCCTCTCGAACGCGGCCTGTAGCATTGGCGGCAGGGTGGCCGTCAGGTAGACGAACTGCGTGCGCACGCTGCGGATGAGGGCGAGGTCGGCCATGGCGTGACGGTACTCGGACGCCGTGATTGTGAGGTGCGCCTCGTCTATCACGACGCGGCCGAGCTGCTGCGTCGCGGCCAGCCTGTGCGCATACGCCCGGAACTGAGACGTGCTCGTGGCCTCGACCGTGACGAACACCAGCGGTGCGTCCCGCTCCTCGCCCGGGGCCCACACGAGGTGGTCTATCCCGAGCTCCTGCACACGCCGCAGCAGGTCGCCACGCAGGGACACGAGCGGCAGCACGAGGATCGTCACGCCCGCATCAGGCAGGACACAGGGCAGCATGAGCAGCAGGCTCTTCCCCTCGCCGGTGCCCAGGATGACGACGACCTGCTCCGTCCATGACATGACGACCGTCATCGCCCGCTCCTGTGCGGCCGACTTCCACTGCAGCTTGTCGTCGTGGTAGAGCCCCCTCGCGCACTTCAGCAGGGCTGCAGCAGACCACCTCTTCCGCGGCCGGTGCACGCCCACGGCAATCCTCTTCAGCATCCGCGGCCTGTCGGACCCTGCCACCTCTGCCGCCTCGCGCTTCCTCTTCCCTGCTGCTGCGACCGCATCCCCGAGCACTGTGTCGAGATCCCACAGCCCCCTCCACAGGGATGACGCGCGCAGGTTGCGACGGATGAGGCCATCCCACACATTCCCAAAGTTCGCGTTCAGCTGGTTCGCGTAGCTGCGGTTCACCACCCGCGTGCTGTGGTTCCGCTGCCTCGTCATGGTCCGGATGTCATCCTCCATCTCCTCTGCATCCTCATCGTCGTCGTCGGCCCCGATGCCCTCGAAGCACGCAAGGTCGCCTGCAAACTTGGTCTTCACAATGTTGACCGTCATCTGGCGCCAGTTGGCGATGTGCAGCCGTGGCACCTTGGCCCGCACGCACGCCTGCTCCATGCACCGCGTCAGCCGGTTGTCGGCCCACACGGCCCCGTCCTTCCACCACAGGTACGCGGACATGATTGCGCGTGAGGAGGACTGGCGCAGGAAGGCCTGGCGGAGCGGCACGACGTAGACGAGGTAGTCCAGCAGGAGGTCTCCGATGGCGGCTGGCAGGAAGCGGATGTTGTCCTTGAACCTGCCCGTCTGCTGCTGGCCCTTGTGGTAGGTGGTGTGCAGCATCACGAGCCCGTGCTTGAGGTAGACGCTACGCCTCCGCTGCGTGTTGCGCCAGGTGAGGGAGAACAGCTCGCTCTCGCGCAGCGGCTGGCCCGAGGCCATGTGGATGAGGACGAGGAGCCGCTTGAGGAACTCGTCAGCGACGGCCTCGTACTGGTCGATGGCCTTCTGTCGCCACATGACCCTCGTGACCCCTGCATCAGCCTCTCCATCCTCTCCATCCTCAGCAGTAGGTGCAGCAGTGGTGTCGAGGAATGACGCTCGGAGTGACTGCGACTCCCGTATGACATTGCGCAGTGAGCCCGCGAGCGGCTTCAGCAGTGCCGCGTTCTCCCGGTGCTCGCCAAAGTGCCAGCTAAAGTTGTCGGCGTCGAGGTTGTCCTTGAGTGCCCACGCGCGCATCCGTGGCAGGCCCGCTGCGCCAAACATGAGCTCGCCGTGCAGCAGATGCTGCGCCTGCCTGAACTCCGACAGCAGCAGCTGCTGCACCTCGTCCATGTTCAGGTCGACGTCCCTGTAGGTGAGGATCTGCTCGTCCTCGTCCCAGTGCGCCTGGTGCGAGCCCACTCCGTCCTTCGACACCGCGAACAGCAGCAGGCGCCAGCCAAGTATCTTGCCCATGGGCGTCTCCGTGTCCGGCCGCAGGTACTGCTCGCAGATGCTGTTGATGTGCTCGAGCGTGCTGCCGGCGCCCGACCTCTCGAGGTATGCGGCCGTGCTGAAGATGAGCAGCTGCACAGCCCAGATCAGGCCGGACAGGCAGCTGTTGAAGTTGCCCGGCTCCTTCCACGACTTGGTGCATGGCTTGACGCTCAGAATCGCGCAGAAGCTGAGGAGCGGCGAGCTGAAGCGGTCGCCGCCGAACTCGTGGCAGACGAGGGCCATGCAGAGGGATCGGAGGGCGTCGTTCAGCGCTAAGCGGTCTCCGTCGGCAGCGCACTCCAGGGCGGCCTCCCAAGCTGTCGTCTGCTCGTCCGTCAGCCGGATCCGGTCCTCGGGGCGCCTGCCCTGGTCCGCGCTCAGAGGTGGCGTGAAGTGGCTGCCGCAGTAGGCGACGCGGTAGCAGTACGCCATGAACTGCTTCCAGTACCCAAAGTTTGTGCGCAGTGTGGATGGCTCCTTCTTGGGGTCGAAGCCGCGCACCCTGCCTGCCCTGCAACTGGCTGGTGCCGATGAGGTAGGGGCGCCATGGAAGCGGCTCAGCGCGAGCTGCCTCGGCCACGTCAGCATGCAGTCCGGCCCGTCGAAGCACCAGCCGTGCACCTCAGCGAGGATCTCGTCCATGACCTCGAGCATCAGGAACAGCTCGGGCTCTCCCTCATCTGCGCTCTTCGGCAGCGCAAAGGAGGCGTGCATCTCGTCCTTCTCTAGGCCCCGCACGTGGTTCTCGATGCCAGTCCGCCTCAGCCACGGGACCGCAGCCGAGGGGTGGCTGTCGAAGCCGTGCACCTTGTTGCCCTCCGTCTTGATGTCGTCCGCTACCATGGTCGCGTCCGCGTCGGCCAGGTCGAAGAAGGCCTGCTCCTGCAGCTCCAGGGCGATGGCGGCAGTAGCTGCGTCCCCTTCCGCCCTGTCGTCGTCTGTAACCACAAAGTACCGGACATGCTCGGTCTTTGCGAAGAAGGTCTGCACCGTGCATCTCTGCCACGCGCCACCCTCACTCTGCTGCGACGGCTTCTGCCCGTGCTCCCGGGACACGTGCGCCCTGATGGCCGGCCCGGACCGGGTCAGGGTCGGCCGGCCGTCGTCGCAGAGGATGCAGGAGAATGCCGGATGGCGGCGCAGTCCCTCGATGGCGATGCAGGGCTGGTCTGGCAGGGCGACCTGTCCCGGGGGCCGCAGCTCATGCGTCGCGAAGAGGTCGAGCAGGGTGCGCAGCTCCGGCCCCTTGAGGTCGTGGGGTGGGTGCCTCAGGTGCCACTCCTGGCTGGCGCGCGCGGGCATGAGGCAGGTCCCGCAGTCGCGGCAGAGCAGCACCCCGTGAGTTGCGAGGTAGGAGAAGCTGGCCGCCATCCTTCCCTTGCGCGAGCGGTGTGTGTGCGCTATTCGCCCTTCGTTGCATGCTCTGTATGCGTGCTTGATGCACCTGCGCCGTCCCGGGGGTCTCCCAATTTGCTGCACAATAATCGCTCCACAATGGCCCGTGCGCGCGCGAGCGACAGGGGTCGCTCGCGTGGGGATTCCCAATTTGCACTACAGATACGGCCGCTTCTAGGGGTAGTGAGTTTGTAGCAAGGATGTTGTAGAAAGAGTAAAGAAAGAGGTAGAGGTTGAAAGGTATGTGTGTTATTTGAAGGTACGCGTTGTAGTGTTGTTTAGAACAGTAATTATTTGCAGGTGAATATTCCTTGACGAATATAATTGTTTGCAACTTTAAAAAAACAACAACCTTACAACCAACCACCTTCCTTGGTTACGTTCCGATCTACACATTCTTCTTCTCTTTTGCGCTTTACCTCTTTACTAGGACCTCAAGTTTATTATCTTGATTCTACAGTCAGAACTTCTGATGATCTTCTGCTAATCACGTGTTTAGCATGGCGAAACGCAAGGCACCTGAAGAACTCTCCACTAATTTGAATACTATCAAAGCTCGCAACCGCGTCTCCAACCTTACTGAAGATGAGAAGGCTGTTCATTTAGCACTCAAGGCTGACCATGGCGATCTGAGCTACTACTTAAAGAAGTTATACAAGTCTGCAAAGTATATCGCTGCCTCTGCTGAAGACAAGACACGTCTACAGAATGAATTGAAGGTTGAGCGTATTCGTGTTCGGTAAGTTCCTTCTGGTAATCTCTGGTAGCCTTAATCTAACTATAAACAGGACTGAAAAGGGCACCCATGCATCTTGCATTGCGAATCAGAAAGTCAAGAATACTAGCGCCCCTTCTTCTTCTCCACAAGCCCCACCATCTACTCCGCCACAACTTCTGTCTGAGCTTGCTGCATTTGAGGGTATCACCAGTATCCCAATCGATGACGGTCATAACAGCGAATGGGAGGATACTGAGGTCGAAGACGATTTAGAGTTGGAGCTTATGTTACGGCGCGACGATATTTTAAATGACGAGGCTGTTCTACCAGATGAGCTTTCTGATGAAGAGATCGCTAGCATCCAGGCTCTCTTAACTCAAGCACGCATTGATGTTGGTACCTCATAGTCTGGTAATCTTCTGGTAATCTTCTGGTAATACTAACGGTTGATAGGCCCATGAAGAGTCCAATTTCCGCAAGTGGCAACATTTCTGGGATAGCTGTATCCGCTCATATACGAGAAAGGCTGGAAAGCTGAGAAAGAAGCCTGAGCATCTCTTTGAATATATGCCATGGATTGATGTAGAAGAAGGGTACGTCTCTGATCATTCTAGCAATCTTCTAGAGATACTAATTGTTTATTATAGCACTTTTCACAACGTTATCCCACCACATAAATATTTCTGTTTGTACGAGCAGGCAGTTTGGACAAACTTTACAGCTTGGAAGTTTGGAAAGTGGGCCCAATTACCAGGACCTGCGCAGTGGTACCCAAAGTCTTACAATCTTGTCGACAACGGATGGTTACAAGTCTCCACTCATAGTTCTAGCTTCAAAGAGGCGTTCTTACTTGTCTACTCTAAGAAATTTGATAAGGAAAAGTGGGCTAAGGTATCAGCTGCACAGGATATGTTGTTTCTGGAGTTAGAGTAGAGGAGAGAAATGGAGTATTTGATTTTCCGACGCGAATAGGGGCTATAGAGATTTAAGTATTTCATCGTAGCCAGACTTCTGGTAATCTTCTGATAATCAAACAATTTGCTACTTGCCAAATGTCATCGCAATATTCAGAGTTGTTTGACTCTGACAATCCTATTTCTAATATATTCTCAGACTCTCTTCCCTCTTCTCAACGACTACCTTCATTAAATCAAATCCCTGCGGGCCTCGAATATACTGGCAAATTAAACCAATTCATCAAATGGACTAAGGATACACACGATATATTCATTGAGTGGTGGAAGCTATCACGATGGTATGAACAACACTCAGATCATACTACAAAACTCCTTACGAAGATTGCATGGGATTCAACCAACCAGAGTTCTCAATACTGGAGAAGTTATCACCAAGGAGCAGACCGGCTTTCTGGAGAACCATGTGTCATTTGTACCTATTGTTCGAAGGCCCTTACGCATCCTGCAATCAAGTCTGCTGGCCCAAAGTCTATGGCAACACATCTTGCATCAGACATTTGCAAAAAGAAGTCACGGATGGGTAAGGATAGTCTCTATCAAATGCGAATCAATCAGATGCGACCTCAACAGGTAAGGATTACCAGATTATTACCAGAATTATATAGGCTAATATCTATAATAGGATCATATTCTCACACAAGAGGCATTTTACGAACAAGTTCTATACACAGTTATCTCAACTCATAGCTCGTTCCGCTTAGTCGAGGATCCTGAATGGAAAAGGCTTGCTATCTTACAGAATCCTCACTATCCACTACCCTCAGCAACAACTATTCGAAACCTCTTAACAACAAAGCTCACACAAATCGAAGAAGAGATGCTACAAGATGTTGTTCCTGGTTCAAAGATTGCATTATCGCTCGACTGTTGGTCAAGTGTTACTCGACTTTCATTTATGGGTGTTATTGCATCATTTATCGACCGTCATTGGAAAATGCAAGAGGTCTTGATTGGGTTTGAACCTATATATACAGAGCATACTGGTGCTGAGTTATGTGGAATACTTGAAAAAGTTATCACAAGGCAGCATTTAGAAGGACGAATTATATCCATTACGACTGATAATGCGTCAAACAACACTTCAATGATGAGAGATGTGGAAATAATGCTTGATAGTATTGCAGACAACGAGCATTTCATTGGAGGAAAAGTACAACACATACCCTGCCTAGCTCACGTTATTCAACTTGCCCTTAGTGCTCTCCTTGGTCGAATCCGGATTACGCCAACAAATCAAGAGATCTTAATGAACTGGGAAGAAGAGAATCAGATGGAGGGCCTTGCAAAGTTGCAGAAGGACAAGGGTATTGGATTTACACTTGGAAAGGTATATATTCTCTTGTTAGTTCTGGTAAACTTCTGGTAGTCTTTTCTAATATCTCATAGCTCCGGAAGCTCACTATCTTTGTTAATTCAAGTCAAACTCGAAGGAACAGGTTTATGACTTTGCAAAAGGCAAACATGAACCGGGGTCAATCATCTCAGAGGCTTCTTCGACTTATTCAAGATGTATCAACTCGATGGGATTCGACATGCCATATGCTTCTGCGAGCACAGCAACTCAAGTCAACAATCAATCAATATACTCGAGGCGATCATGGTGCTCACATGTTCAGACTTAGCGAGCTAGAATGGAAGCACATCGAATACATCATTGATCTTACAAGGCCATTCAACTTCTTTACAACAAACATTGGATCGTCAGCCGGACCTACTGTCTGCTATACACTTGGAGTATATCAAAAACTCTTATCAACGCTTGAAGGAACTCGGCACCGGCTACGGCATAAGACATATCCATGGGCAGCAAAGATGACTTTAGCAATCGATGCTGCAGAGAAAAAGATTAGGAAGTATTATAACAAGCTATACACAAATACTGGATCTATCTTCGCATTTGCTAGTATCTTAAATCCTAGTGTGAAGCTCTCACACTTTAACAAAAAGGTTTGCAAGCTTGACTTTTCAATACGAAATTGGGAGACAGAGTTTGAACAACAGTTTAGGACTCTTTATAAAGAGCAGTACTCTACAGTGCGAGTTGCGAGTCAATCAGGATTACGAGATGCAGATATGGATCCATTAGCCTTAGTATTGCAGCAAAGTCAGACATTAAATGGGACTCGGGGCCAGCGAGAGGAATATGTGAATGAGGCTGATCTCTATCTTGATGCTCGTAAGTTTCTGGTAATCTTCTGATAATCTTATTCTAACTTGTATAGCACATATCTACACAAAGATATTGCTATTTTGGCAACAAAAGGAAGAGCAATTTCCTGGTCTATCAGCAATGGCTCGTGATATACTTTGTATTCCTGCTGCTGAGTCTGGAGTTGAGCGAGTCTTTAGTGCCGCAAGGGACGTATGTGGCCACCGACGTGGTCAACTTAATCCTGAGACGATTAAGAGTATTATGCTTATATATTACTCTCGACAATACAAGAATCGTCAAGGTCATCGTGACAAGCTTGCAGATATGATGGACGTCGTTGATATGACTGAGGAGCAAGTCGAAGAAGAGTATGAGGCACAACGACAACGGATGTGCAATTCTATCGAGTTACAATATATCAGCGATGAAGAAGAACCACGATCAAATACACATATCCGAGAGACATATTCAAAGGTACAATATCCTCCGTTTAATCCTCAGCGGCCACAGCAACAGCAAGACTTATCACAAGCTGCACATGAAGAACGACAAATGCGCTACCAACAAGGTGAAGAAAGAGATAGGGCTGACCGTCTTAACGAGACCTTATACGACATCCCAGATGACGATATCCCAGATAATGAAGATATAAGAGAAGATGGTAATAATGAGGAGCCTATACTTCCAACTATTCATGACGATGAAGATAAGGATATGCCGTCCTCGCCACCAACGCCTATCCAACACCCTCGGAAGACTGGAAGAGATCTACTTGATATCTTTCAAGCTACTCGTCAAGACCCTATAAATACTTTAGGTATTAGTAGGTCTGGCCGGCCTCATCAAGCAAGGTGGAAAGATGTTCTTGAGCATATATAATATAGTTCTGATAATCTTCTGATAATCGTGGTACTTAGATAGAGGAATATACGTGATTCGTTCTCACAGCTTATTAGAGATGGTAGAGTGATGCTGATAAATGTAATACTTTAAGTTAACTTACAACTGTAACCATAAAACAGTATTAATCGTATGAGGGACTGTTCACGTAATGCATATATCTTACACGTGACAGCCGAGTACTCACTGGGTTTTTACAGAGTAACTGAGTATTGGCCTCACTCACCGAGTCGAGTGAAAGGTTCAGCTACTCACCCAGCTGAGTAACCCACTGAGTGAGTGAGCCGAGTATTGGGCGAGTAGTGCGCAGCCTAGGCTCCACCTGCCCCTACCACTCGACAAATCCGAAATAACTCTCTCACTTAAACTCGTATCAGAAATCGGAGGTAGCCATTCTGTTCCGCTTGTAAACCTCTGTCAATGGTGGTGTCGAACGATAAATTCCGCCCGCTCCTGCAGAACATGTGACTCTTCTCATACCTAGCCCCCCACCACCCTTTGCCACCCATCGGAATCTGGAATACCTCGGCCATTTCAAGCCGTATCAAAAATCGGAAGACGTCATTTGATTCCCCTCGTAATTCTCCTTCAATGACGATATCGAACTTTATATTCTACCCATCGCTGCAGAAGCTATCGCCACTCACGTGCCATGCCCATACTGCACCCTTGCCACCCGGCGGAATCTGGGATATCTCCATCGTTTCAAACCGCATCGTAAATCGGAAGACGCCATTTTGTTCCCCTTGTAAATTTCTTTCAATTACGATATCGAACGTTTGATCTTGCCTCTCAGCTCTGCATTTATACCACTTCCCGTTCTATGCCCTCTTCTTCTTGCCACCCATCGAAATCCATTATAACACGATCATTTCAACTCGTATCAAAAATCGGAGGACGCCATTCGATTCCGCTTGCAAATCTCCCTTAATAACGATACTGAACGTTTGGTTTCGTCTGTTGTTGTAAAAGTTATTAGCCTCTGAAAACTATGCTCAGCCCCCCCCTGCCACTTACCGCCTGACAAGATCCGCCATAACTTGTTCGTTTCAACTCGTATCAACAATCGGAGTATGCCATTTTGTTCGTCTTGCAAAGTTGTCCAATTTCCCCTATCGAACGATAGATTTGATCCATCGCTGCAGGCGTTATTAGCCTTTATAAACTATACTCAGCCAGTCCCTCAGCCACCAAGCACCTGACGAAATCCGAAATAACTAACCCATTTTTTCTCGTATCAAAAAAAGGAGTACGCCATTTTGTTCCCCTTGCAATCCTCTTTCAATAACGCTATCGAACGTTAAGTTCAGCGCACTGCTGCACAAGTTATACCACGTCTCATATGTAACCACCCCCCTTGGCCTTCCTACCCACTGCCACCCGTCTAAATCCGGAATATCTTCACCAGTTGAACTCGGATCAAAACTTGGGATACGCCATTCGATTCCCCTTGTAAATATCTTCCATTGACGATACCGAACGTTAAGTTTCAGACGTCGCTGCAAAAGTTGGAATCCTTCTCACATGTTACCATGGGGCCCCATTTCCTGGGCCCGGCCCAACAAATCCGAAATAACTCACTCGTTTCAAGTCGTATCAAAAATCGTAAGAGGCCATTCGATTTCTCTTGCAAATCTCTTCCAATGACGATATCGAACGTGAAGTTTCCGCCGTAGCTGCAAAGGTTATAATCCCTCAGAGTAGGTGCTCCACCACCCCTACTGTCCCCCCAGCGAAATCTGCAATATCTCACCCGTCTCAACTCGTATCACAAATCGGAGTACGCCATTTGATTCGTCTTGCAAATCACTTTTATTAACGCTATCGAACGCACCATCTGCATGCCGCGTCAGGATATTACAATCCATCCTATAACATGCTCCCCCAATCACCCCTCCCATGCATCGCCCGACCAAAACCGGAATATCTCCACCATCGAAAGTCCGATCAACAATCGGAGTACGTCAATTTGTTCCCCTTGCAAAGCTGCACAGGAAACGTCAGCGAACGTTCCACTCGATTGCGAGACCGTCAACCTACCGTCCCTGCAAGAACGTGAGTCCGGAAATGGACCAGGAGACAAGCCCTCTACTCCTCCTCACCTGGCTGCCAGTTGCTCTGCTTCGTGAAGAAGACGCACGAGTACCGCGTGCCCTCGAAGGGCGCGATCCAGTGCTCGAGGACTGCAGAGC